TATGATCAAACTTAGACTGTCAGGACTAAGGTTGGATGTGTAGCATAAACATCCAAATATTTCAAATGTGATATTGGGGATTGAGTGAAATAAAAGTTCAAAGGAGGCTTATTATTGATGACTGGAGATGGAAATAGGTTGATCAAATAAGTTGCATGGAGCACACAATCAACCCAAAATTGTTTTGGTAGATGAGCCTGAAACATCAAAGATCTTGCCACATTTAAAATATGTTGATGTTTTCTTTTAACCACACCATTCTGCTGTGGTATACATGGGCAATAACATTGGTGCACCATTCCTTTAGCAGCAAAGAAATCATTCATCTTAAACTCTTGACCATTATCGGTATAAACACATTTGATCTTTGCATTGTGTTGGGTTTCAACGTATGCAAAAAATTGAGTAATGATTGTTCTGACTTCTCCTTTTGTCTTTATAGGATACAACTATGTGTACCGACTATTATCATCAAGAATGGTGAGAAAATAACGATGACCATATAAAGAGGAAATAGATAAAGGACCCCAAATATCAATATGTACAATATCAAAGCAAGATTTACTCATTGATTTACTCACATGAAATGAAAGTCTTTTTTGTTTAGCAAGATGACAAATGTCACAAACAAAAGAAGTACAAGAAGAAATTGATTTATCTAATTGATGAATTGTATGAAGTCTTAGTATGGAAGGGTGACCAAGACGATAATACCAAAGGTTATGAGTGTTAACAACATTATTACAATAAAAAGAATTAGAGTTTACAAAGGAATAATCAAAAGAACATGACTTTATAACATTGACAGTGTTTGCTGGTTTTGTATTTACTGCCTCAAGGTAATATAATCTTTGCCTCTCTTTAGCTAAACCAATTGTCTCCTTTGTTTGTGCATCCTGGATTTCACAAAAAAGATCATGAAAGGTTAAGTAATATGTGGAATCGGCTAACAATATGCTTACAGAAATTAAATTGAGGGCAAAGTTTGGTGTGTATACTGCATTATGAAAGGCGAAATATATACATCACCTATGTAGGTAATAAGAACTGTTTAAAAGTTAGGTAATTTTACAAACATATTGATCACCAATCTACACAAAGCAAACATTTCTACTGCACTAACTACATGGTCCGTAGCTCCTGAATCAATTATCCATTCATCTAGTGAAATATAGAATGGTAAGTTAGAGGCAATACCTGGTGAAGTCTGAAAATTTGCAGAAAGTGTATTAACCTATGGTACTGGATTTTTATTTGGTGCAGGTGCTTGGGGTTGAATCAAAGTTAATAATTGCTGGAATTGTTCTTTAGTAAAAAGGAAAGACATGCTCTTTGAAATTTGACCCTGAGACTTGAGCTTCATTTGTGAATTTCTGGACTCTAAATTTGTATCCAATGTATGAGAACTAACTTGATTGATGTTGGACACACTTTTCTACCTCATTTTATAGCCTGGTGGAT